CACCACCATCTGTCAGCAGCTATCAGCATCAAGGCAAGGCACTCCACCAGCCAAAAACATCATGACTTACTGAAAGCTCAGATGATGGTTAGCATTTTTAGCAAAGTATTCTTTCAATTAAGATATATACATTGCTTTTTTAGACAATGCTACTGCACTTAGACTACAGTGTGGTGTAAACTTTTAAATGCACTGGGAATCCCCAGAATTTGTGTGACTCCCTTTATTTTGGTATTTGCTTTATTGCCGTGGTCTGGAATCAAGCTTGCAATGTCTCCAAGGTATGCCTGTATTTCTTTAAATTATGTGGTACGATTATAAGTACAACTAATATAAATAAATCAAACAAAATAAAGTCATAGTAAGCATGTATTTCATCAGACAAAGTTGCTCCTTAGCATACTAGAGAATAACCCAGTGTAATCTAGAAAATGTCCACATTGACTATCAATCAATATGGAAAATAGATTAATAGTTGTGAAAATGACAGTCTTTTGAGTTGAAATTTTTTTGAGTTTCTACTAACTTATTCTTCCTCTTCCAATATACACTAGCAAAATTGATCACTTAACATATTTAATGAATCTCTGCAAATATATACAACACAATGACATGAGGCATGTTTTACTGAAAGAAAAAGTACCAACTTCAGAAATATTTACTCAAACATCCATCTATTTAATAGCTTACCTGACCATGTGTTTAATCTCTTCCTGTACACTGGTCACTGTGCTAACCACTGGAGGTTTTTCAGAGGGATAAATAATTCAAAGATTGGGTGGCTTCAAGTCCAGTTCCCCTAATGAAACAAGTGGTTTGGGGAAAAAAAAATCACTTTCTTTTGCCAATTGTCAATGTTTTCTTCCCTAAGATAGGAAGTATACATTAATCTGATGAAAACTAAACTAGTTAGTATGAGGATGAATCTCATGAATATTAATATGAACAACTGTCAACAGTACTTGGTTTTATTAGCACTCAGTTTTTTTTTAATGCTTTTGAAATTTAATAAAAAAGAGAAATAAAGACTGAGAGATAAGTAAGGATAATTTCAAACCATACGCAAGGTTGAGAGACACTGACCAAATAAGAGTCAGTAGAACACACTTGGCCCTGAAGGGTACATTTTTGAGGTTTCTGAAGGAGAGGGGGAGTTTAAATTGCCCTGGTAAGCATTTTGCTGGTTTATTTTGCTCTGTTTACTTTCTCAGATATGAGATAATTATGACAGAGGTGAAGTCGTCCTTATCGAAGAGAAGAATCAAAAAATCTACCTAGACATGTAAAACGAGGACCTTATTGAGTTAAGAAAATGTTACTTAAGCTGCACCAGTATTTATCCATGAAAA